TACTTATTACCTAAAAATACTATTGACACTTTTGTGATGAACAACAAATACATCAAGCCGTATAACAATTTATTGACACTTATCATTGAGGAGCTACATCCGTTCAAGTAAAAAATTTGCTCAACTAGCCCCAACCCAAATAAGTAATGCTATTTGTAATTTTTAACTTCCCGTAGGTAATCTTTACGTTTTGAAGGTTTCTAAAATTTTGGAATACCTCAGAAAAAATTGATGTGTGTGTGTTTCGTATGTCCGCATTTTTTCGTCCACGTTTTCGGGCGTACGGATCAACCGATTTGAATGTGAAAAAATTGCAGTTTTTGAGAGAACTAAGCGTCAGATTTGAATGATTCAAAAAACTTTATGCTTGTTTTAACAAAATAATTGCTTTTGGAAAAAAAATTGTTTAAAATTTTTTTCTTTTAAAAAAAATATTTTTTTTCGAATTTTTTTTTTTTGTGTATCGAGAATAGTTCAGATTTCTTTTTAAATTCTACTTTGCAATTCAGTTTATATAATTCTTATAAATATTAAACAATGTTACAATATTTATAATAATCTATTTGAAAACTTTCAATATTCCTCGAACATTTCGTTATGGTACGGGAAGTTTCAGCAATTTGCCTTAAGGCCTATGCCGTACACCACTAGTTTAATTTATGATATATATATATATATAAAATTTAATTAAATCAATTGTAAACTAGTTAAAAGCAAAAAAAAATAACGGGGACACCAGGATTTGAACCTGGGACCTTTCAGTTCGCAAGAAAGTGGAACGCTCTACGTCTGAGCTATATCCCCACGTACGCAAATCCTGATATTTCGCAATGATTATATCCTATGAAAAAGTTCATGGAACCATCAAATGCACAAATGTACTTTTTATCAGTCAGTGAAGTTACAAATGTGAAAATCTAACAAGAATTGACTTTCAGGATAGCACGTGAGATATACAAAAAATAAAAATGTTTAGTGATTATTGTAAAATATAAGTAAGCGTGACTAAACAAGTGGGTTTGCTTGGATCAATATAGGGCACATGTTTTAGATAAATTTTATTCTAAGAATTCAAGTTCTAAATAGAGCATTTTCTACTGGAAAAATCGTTTTATTATTTCGACGTGAGCTACAGAAATGTTTGGGGGGCATTGCTGCATCTTACGCACATGTACATATATATCTAATAGTTATATATTTTGCAAAAATAGAAAGTTACTTTAAAGAAATCATAATTAACATTAAAATTCATATTGAGTTATTGGATTGAAATTGTAAATTTATCATTGATTTATTTATCAATTTTATTGTTCAGGGCGACTCTGGCGGGCCTCTTGTATGCGACGGACTCTTAACAGGAGTTGTTTCTTGGGGTGTATATTGCGGACATCCAGATTATCCAGGAGTTTACACAAATATATCACATTATAATAATTGGATCAATACAACAATACGTAAACTGGAGGAAAGCGACGATATACCTTCAAGTTCATTTATTCTTACATCGACATCAAATACATTTATTCCTACATCGACTTCAAATACTTTTACTCCTACATCGACGGATAGAACAGATAACAAACAAAATGTTTCTAGTATACATGAGAGTAACAAGTGTAATAACATGAACCTAAATATTTATATTTATATCATAGTTTTTATTTTTCATAAATATTTGAAAATGACACAATTAGTATAATTTTTGATTGATTAGAAATATTAATTGAATAAACTATTCGAAACTAAATGTATCATTTTGCTTCAATTCAGTTGCATGATCTTCCCGTTATGTGTAATAAATTTAACAGTTTTAAAAATAGTGACAAAATTTTTAGCTGTTTATTTTAGAAAGCTTTCGCTTCTGCTAAAAAGTGTCTAATGCCATTTTCAATTAATACATGTATCTCAAACAAACATATAATATATGTAACTGTAATAATTGTATTTATTACATACTAAATATTTAATAATAAAAAAATTACTCTTGCTTCTTTATACTTGTTCTAAAGTGAATATAAAGCATATGTAATTTTAATAAGTTGTAACACTTACATGAATTTTTATAATTAAACAACTTTTTGTAAACCTATAATAATATCTCAAGATGTTGATTTAGACTCGAAATTTTAGAGATCAAAAAGAGTTTCTAATAAAAATTAATTACGAAAAAAAAGACCCAATTCCAAAGCGATAATTTTGTAACAGCTTTCTTTAATTCTCAAAATCGGTTCAGGAATTTCAGCATAAAAGGTTGACGGAAAATTTTTGTTATCTACTAATTACAAAGAAACTTTTGGTGAATCGACGCACAATACTAATCAACAAGTCCTTATCGCGTATCATTGAATGGCTTTTAAATTTTTGAAATTGTCACAGACATGTTTGAAAAATACCGACAAAAAAGGAAATTTTGACTCGCCCATATATATAAATACATTTTCTAATCTTGGTGTCAGGAACAGCTGCAAAAATAAACTGCATAGGAAAGCTAATAAAATCAACAAAATATAAAATAATAAAACTTAAAAAAACTATATTTGTTTGAAGTCTTCCAATTGGTTCTGTGCCCAACAGATTTTTTATAATTTCATTCATTTCAGTATTCCGTTTTTTATATCATTTTACTATTGAATAAATGAAGCGTTTTTAGTTATATTTATTTAATCATTTGATGACATAATTGTCGTTTTGATATCAAATACTACTTGACAAAAAGATAACCATCACATACGACTAACATAGGAGAGGCAGGAAACAATTAGTGGAAGAATATAATTAAACAGAGGTGAACTATCATCATTTTGTCTTGGAATTCCCTAATTATTATGCACGTGCATCAATAATAATAAGTGCATTTATCTCTAATTCTCTTTATCAGGGATTAATTTTTAGTTATCAGGTTTTATTATATTTTCAATACTCAGATCTTACTTCCTCATTTTTTGTTTTTCATTACCTCATTAATGAAAAACTTATTTTTTCTCCGATATAATTGTGCAACAGGTAATTTTCAAAGTATTATCAGATTTTTATAATCAAATCCAGATGGTTGGATGGATGAAAATTTGTTAGTTCATCCAAGAAATAGACAGTGGCTTGAATGCTTTAACAAAAATCGGAATCTTCGATGCGGAATCATTAAAATCTTATATTAGTCTCAAATAGATGTAAATGCCTGCCTATAACTTATTGATAAAAATTCAATAATTACGAGTTATCAAAAATTCCCTATTTTCACTAGAATCATAAATTATCTACAATTGATAAACGCATAAATATATAAATAATGTAGACAATAGATTAGATATCAGTCTGTTCGCAAAAGTTAATTTTATCATGCATAAATACACCATTGCTATTGCGTTATTTGTGGTAATATACCAAATTGGTGAGTTAGATATTGTTACTCAAATATTAAGTTAGCTTAAACTTTAAATTTTATTATAAAATGTTTGAAATCAAAAGAACGTTTTTAATTTTAATTGGTGATTTAGGAAAAACGTGCGGGTCTGAACAGAATGGCGATACAAGAATTATTGGAGGAAGCCCTGCAGTGGAAGGTCAATTTTCTTTTGCAGTGAGTGTGAAAATTTATAATATGGTTTTGAGAAAATTTAAGTACTTTTGAAGCTCAAGTTCAATTAATGTGATGTGACATATACTCTTAAGGGGCACAACTAGTGTAACTGCCTAAAAAGAAGGTGATTTTTGGGAATTTATATTAAAAAAAAGTAAAATTTTTGAAGAAAAAAATTAAATATTTTTTAAGTTATCGTCGATCTCCAACGGCGCGAAAAAAAGGCCCTTCACTGCTGCAGTGATTAAAATTAAATTAAAAAAAAAACTTCTCGTTAAACTAGATAATATTGTCTGTGAAATGAACTACGATAAAAAAAAATCAAAAATTGACAAAATGGCGGCGTTTTAAAAAAGAAGTCGAATTTTATCCAATATTTTGGTCGTTTTTGGACTGCCAAAATTCGATTTTTGATCCGATCAAAAAATTGATATTTCATTTTACGGAGAACTATATATGGAGCATGTAAATAAAATTCGATAGTGATCGGATCATTTGTTTTTGAATAATCACTGCAGCAAATTCGGAAAATGCTGTTTCGAGAAAAACGCGTTTAAAGATAAAATGATCGTTATACTAGATACTATATATATACTCTTTAAATGGCTGTGGCTCAAAAACTATCTAAGATATCGATTTAATATTTTGGTATGTTGTTTTTCAAAGTATAACCTATCGAAATATGAAAAATTCGATTTTTTGAAAATTTCACACTAGTTGTGCCCCTTAACGCTTTTATAATATAGACAGTTCCATAACATTCGGCAGGCAACATAATTATTTGTGTATTAATTTCTCGTAATAAATAATAAAAAATATAATTCATTTTAATTAAGCGTTCAAATGCTTTCCAAATGACACGTTCATTAAAAATAAGATCTTGGCAAACAAAAGTTGAAAATATCAACGAGGTATGCTCAGAATTGCTCAAATGCAGAATTTCAAAAATTATGAAGCAGTTTGAGGTTAATAAATAAATATGATGTGCCAGTGTGTGTTTTTTTTATTATAAAAATATTGAGAAAATTATATAAATAAATTTAATTCAGGTATCCTTGCGTGTTCGCGGCAAACACTTATGCGGAGGTAGTCTCATTAGAAATGACACAGTTTTAACTGCAGCCCACTGTATTATCATGTATGTATATTTTTCATTATTTTATTTTTTATATTAAATTATACTCTGCATTTATAAAAAAGCAGTAATTCTGTGTATATATATGCGAATTGTCAAATATATTTTCAAATTGGATAAAAAAAATTAAGTGATTAAGCATTAATTGTAAGAAAAATTAAAATAAATTGTAAGTACGGTAAGCTAAGCAATTATAATAAATAGATAAAAAAACAAATAAAAAAGTATATATTTAACACGTTGACTGCGAGTGTCGACAACGTGTCAACATCCCCTCGTTATTTCGTAATGGGGTTGTTGACACATTAACTAGTTCCTACCTCTGCCAACGTGTTAAACAGCTCTAATTTTTTATGTAAAATTTTTTAGAGATGAACCTGAATACTACACGGTTGCTTTCAATACAACAACTTTAATTGAATCTCCAAACACCGTTTCAATGAAAGTGACAAAAATAATAAAACACAAAAAATTTAACTTGGATATAAATTTTGATTATGATATAGCAGTTCTTAAGGTAAATGCCATTACCTTTTGCAAAGTGTTAGCGCTTTTTTTTAAATATTATACAGCAATAAAATATATCTACTTTTATTAGGTAAAACCAGTTGGATCATCAAACAAGACTATTTCAGATATAACAATAAAGTTGAACACTAATCCAGTAAAGGATCATACCAATTGTACAGTAATAGGATGGGGCGATACATATGAGGTAAGATTTATCCTCTAATAATATAAAATTATATAAAACACGAACGTAAAGTTGTTTTAGAAAATTTGCGAGTTTAACTCGGATACATTAATTTCGTTATGATTTCCATTTGCAGGGTTCGCAGGCAGGAAGCCCTTTTCTTCAATATGTAGAAATACCAATTATTCCTAAAACAGAATGTGTAAAAATTTATATGAATTTATTAAATAGTGACATGCTTTGCGGTGGATTACCAGGAAAGGACTCTTGTCAAGTAAGAAAATAAATTTCTAATAAATTAAAATATCGTTTTTTTGGATAAATACTCATACACGATCAGATCAGGCAAATCAATAAAAATAGATGATATTCGAAAGATTAGCTTCTAAATGTAAAATTAACTTACAATTATTTTTATGAGTATACACATATAATATTTGCTTATTTTTTAAATTCTCATTTATAATTTTCAGGGAGATTCGGGTGGTCCTCTTGTATGCAATAATAAATTGGCTGGAATTGTTTCATTTGGAGAGGGCTGTGGTAAAAATCCAGGCGTTTATACCGATGTATCGCATTACTTAGAATGGATAAAAGATGCACAAAATAATGCTTATATTATAAGGCAGTCTCATGTAATGATTTTACTTTTAGTCACAATTTTAATATTTAGGATAATATAATACATGTATTAATATATATTTGTAATATAAAAATAGAAAATTGTAATTGTTTTTTTGTAATCTCTACATTTAGCAATAATTGTTCATGATGAGAACGAATGTAATAAACAGTATTACGATTTAATACTTTGTGCGAGCATGAGAATTAAAAAGGTGTAAGTACGTAAAAATATTTATTTGGTAAGGTAAAATTAGATAGATTTATCATTTATATTTGAAGATTTCAAACAAATCAATTTTGTTGAAAAATTATGTTCGTAAATTGAAAATCAATGAATGAGATGAGAGACACGAGGCAAACAAGAATTATAAGGAATAAAAATATAAAAAAATATATAAATTATGTGCTATTAAATAAGTATATAAAATAATTGTTTTCTATATTAAGAACATATTGTATTCATAAAACTTATTACAAACATGTTCTTTTTAAACATTGTTACTCAAATTACAAATGTATCTTTTAAATCTAATCATAAATAATAAATTTAATTGATAAAAAGTAATTAGATTTAGTATATATATATATATATATATATATAACTGCATATACGTCAAAGCAATCGATAAGTATAAAATCTGTATCATCGAACTTAAGCGTGTTAAAGGTAAATACAGTTTTATTAGTATCGAAAACTGTGATTGTACACCAGAATTTATCTTCTAGATAACGAAACTGATACCAAATTATACAAATATATCACCAAGCATAGTTAAATACCTTTTCGTATAATCTTTTGGCATAGTCAACATTAAAATGATTAATTATGGCATCATTTTAGTTGCACTTGCAACGATTTTGCAATGCGGTGAGTTTATAATATTAACAATAAATTTTAAATTACTGAATGGTATTTTAAATCACATTATTTTAACATAACATATTTCTATATCATACAGGTGAGATGACTGATTTTATACATAACGGAGAGTCGAGAATTGTTGGTGGAGAAATTGCAAATAAAGGACAATTTTTATTTCCGGTTGGTATTAATTTAGTGTATAATAAAGTAAAATTTTATTCTGGTCTATTACATTATTGTTAACTATAATATATTGCGTTTTCATGAATTACCAATTTAGATCAATATTCGTAATAAAAGTGATAAATAACAAGTATTATTTAAACAATCGGATATCGAATTCTTTATCAACTTCTTTTTACTCTTCAAATTTTTGTTGATCTTCAAATTTGATGCTTAAAGAGCATGGGACGTACCTTTCGTAAAAATGTATCTATACACTTATTTAATTTTTAAAAAAATTAAAGGATTCCAACCCTCAACCATATCAAATACAAACCCATTTTCCAATTCAAACGCTCGACATACAACAATTTTGATGTTTGTTGGCACTTTTGTGAATTTTTGGTGTGTGTTGAGTGTTTATTATTAAATTTGTCAAATTATACAAATAAAATGAATCGTTCATAGGTGTCCTTACAATATTATGGGCAACACATATGTGGAGGTAGTTTGATTCGAAATGACACTGTACTGACAGCAGCCCATTGCGTGGAAGAGTATGTATATCATAAATTAATCAATTCATTTAAGTCAATACACAAACAATTTTAGTACGAAGCCTGATCACTACAAAGTAGCTGCAGGTATTTTCAGATTAAAAAATATTCCAAAGAATAGCATAATGAAAGTGACCAAAATTGTCAAACACAAAATGTACGGCATCAACGAATCTTACATGCACGATATAGCAGTACTAAAAGTAAATGAAATCGTACAAGTATATATTCATTAGCAGATATTGTTTTTAACGCAATTGTTTATTCAGGTAAAAACTAGGACGGGGCATTCTGGTAAAATAATACAATTAAATGACAAGCCGGTTAAAGAAGGAGCTAATTGCACTGTCGTGGGATGGGGAGATTTGTATCAGGTACGATTTTTTATTATAATTATCATTTAATTACATTTGGGCTCTTCCTTGGATAAGTGAGTTGAGCTATGGGACTTCAATCAGAAGTTCCAAGCTCGATTCCCGCCGCGGAGAGTATGATGTCGAGTGACGTTGGTTGTCCCTTGGAAATATAAATAGCATTATGTTTCTATTCTTAATAACAGCCTTTTAGGATCATTTGTTACAATACCCCAATTAGAAAAATTAAAGCGTTTATTATTACAAGTAAACTATAATGAATAGTATAGTAAATAATTATCTTGAATAGTATACAAAAGACAATTAATGGTTTGCCTATCAATAACGTTGTTTTTAGTAATAATAAGGAGTGTCCTATACACCATTTAGAACTTGTGATAGTCCGTCCCTGTTACTGATCTTTATTGCTTTTATAAAATTTGACATGCACCATTACAAATTAGGCCTCAATGTAGTTGTGATTAATGCTAAAGTGAAATATAATACAACTACATTTAGTAATAATTAAGAATCTTAATATTGGAATTGAATTTGTAAAATTAAGAAAGAAAACCACATACATATTCCAGTGAGTCAAATGTTGGCAAGCATCCTAAATTTATGTAATTGTCTTATTTATGTTTTATTGTATGAAATGAAATATTTTTCCACTTTTAGGGATCAAACTATGGCAGTGATGCACTACGTTTCGTTAATATTTCTATAGTTTCAAAAGTATCGTGTGCCAAAATATATCAGTCGCTATTAACTAATGATATGTTATGTGCAGGTCAAGGTGGCAAAGATTCTTGTCAGGTGAGACACATTAACAAACTGTAAAGTATTTACTTATATTAATATTCAAATTTCCATAATTGGATAAAGGTACAAAGTAACTCCAGTTTATTAACTTCCCGAAGGAGAAGTTTATGTTTTCATGGAAAAATCCGATTCGCTAATTTTATGTTTTCTCAACGTTTTAAGCCATTCTGAATCGAATGAGACCAAATTTGGAAAAAGTATGTGTGTGCGTGTGTGAACAGATTTTTTGCCGAAAATCGACGTTTTCTCAAAAACGTCTGGACCGATTTCAAAAGTTTAAAAACCATTCGATGTATCGCGATGAGGATTAGCGTTTATCAATTTTGTGCGACGATCAGCCAAGCCGTTTCTTTGTAAATAGCAGAAAAGTGAAAAATTTTACAACAAGTAGTTTAACTTTTAAAATTGATCAAAGTTTGAGAAAATGAGTAGTTTTTTTGTCGTTTGTTAAAATTAAAATTAGACGATTTACTTGGTATAACGACAGAGTACTTGGTCATAATGAACATACTAAACCATTGAAGTCCTACGGAAACTGGTTCAATTATAAAACTTATTGATTTTTGAAAATTTTCTTCTAGAAAATACTCAGAGTTAATGTGTTCCTTCGCTTTCAATTACGTGTAATAAATCCACTCGGAATACTTTTAATCACGCATAAATTAATTTATTTTTTATTGATTAAGTCGATTAATTAGGCAAAAGGCAAAATACCAATGCCAACTAGTTTAACTATAGTTTTTATTTCATTAATAGAAAATTAATGAATTTTTAAAACTACTACTTCAAAATTAAAACTTCTCAATTTGTATTTTTATATACAAAATAAATTCTTGAACCTAATAAACAATTTTGAACCATTTATGCCAAATCGTGTGCTGCTTATAAATTTATTACACGTGAATAAATCGGCAATGCAATTTTTATTATCAATTAAAATATTAAAACGTTGCTCTCGATTGCTTTTTATTTTCAAAAATGAATTTTGCATAATTTATTAAAACGTAGTACAAATTGTAGAGCAAACTTGTAAGTCCTGTCTAATTTTATATTACACTCAAAATTGTTTCCAATTCCTCGCATTCCTATGATTTTATCCTCTGCATTTTTTCTCTTCTTGTGTATTATATGAAAAAAAAAGATTGCATACTCTAATTGCGGTTCTATTTTTTGAAAAACGTATATGTTAACTTTGGAATCACAAAAAATATTAAATATCATAACTGACTTTTAAAGATTAATATTATAAAATAAATTATTTATTATTATGAATGATATTAGAATGGATCAAACAAACACCATAGATATTGGAAATTTATTCCAGCATCTATTTTCCAGGGAGATTCAGGAGGGCCACTCGTGTGCGACAATAAACTAACAGGTATTGTTTCTTTTGGAGCAGGCTGTGGCGATGTACCTGGTGTATATACCGATGTCTCACATTACTTAACATGGATCAAAAAAGCTCAAAATGATGGAAGTGTTATCAAAAATTCACTATATCTATCTATAATATCAGTCATAACAATTGTTGTAAATGCTATGCACTAGTCAGTCATGTGACATCAAATACAAATGTGTTACCTTATTCAATTTTAAAAGATTAGTTATTTATAGTGATGTATTATATATTGAATGAAGGTTTCTGAATTTTTTGAACATTTAAGAATTTTTTGGATAATTTGGAAAATCAAAGATAACTATAAAATAACATGTAAGATGACTAGACCTTGTTGCTTATAAATGCTTAATTATTTTTATTAAAATAGCGTTTTTACAACAGTAACGAAATCTGTGTCTTAAGTTTTATTTATATTTTATCATATCAACATATTTAAAATTCTTATATATATATATATATATATACAATCCTAATTTTTGAAGTAATTTATTGAAAATGAGTTAAATTATGATATAGATAATTAGCACTATCTAATTTAAAATACCTATTAAAATCTTTTTATAATCTAATGGTATTGAAAGATTACTAATTGCAGATATACCATCAAATTAATCATCAACTAGATACCAAAAATCGTAAATGTTTTACTATTATCTGTTAGATAAAGAATTATCATCGAAAGTAACATGAAAAAAATATAATAAATTAGTTATTTAATATCGGTTCGTTTGAAGTGTTGCAAAAATGAATATAAATATTAGTTTTGTGGTTCTAATCTTTATAGTTCTTTTAGTGAAACATGGTAAGGCATAAAAATTAATTATTAAAATATTTTTGGACGGTGGCATTATATTTTTCAATAAAAATGCTCATGCTTATTATCAGGCTATTCAAAACACTTGGAAACAAAAATTATTGGAGGTGAATTTGCAAGAGAAGGCCAATTTCTATTCCCAGTAAGTGCAAATTAAAAAAATCAACGTGTTCTATTAATTGAATAGAAATATATAATTGTTCTGAAAATAGAAATTTTAATATTTAAATTTTTTATTTTCATTTTGTCAATCACTTGAACTTTTTATGTTATATTTAGATAAGTTAGTACTTTTCTGAACATTTAGAATATTATGGCACAGGTTTGAAATTGTGCAAAATTCTTCACAAATATAACAAGATGTAAAACTTTGGTGAAAAATATAAATTATAAATACATTCAAATTCTGTTGTTGTTTTTTTAATATCTTATATAAACCAAATCTAAATATGTGGTAAATTGAAACTAGTAAACTTTTCTATTGTTTTCCTAATACTTCAATAGTAAATTGGTTTTGTGAATCACAAAAGTAAAAATAAAAATGGTTTTAGGTATCACTTAGAAAATTAAACAAGCATATTTGTGGCGGGGCTTTAATTCGAAATGACACAGTGTTAACAGCTGCTCATTGTGTGGAAGAGTAAGTATATTTTTTATTATACATATTATTGGCTAATAATTCTCATTCATTCTCAAAATCGAACCAACCACAAAAGTCGTATTTCTCCAAATGCTTCAAAATCATTTTCATATTCATTTGAAGATTACGTATGAAACAAAACAATTGATTCTGGTTCAAACTTTAAAAATTCTTTTTATCAAAGTTTATATTAACACTTTCCACTCGTGAATTCAGAGATTTACATGAATTTCGCCGCCGGAGTGCCGGCATCCGAGTCGAAAGGGTTAAATTTGAAATTAGTAAACTTGGATAATAAATTTTGTCACGACCTTTTGAATTTTTATACTGTTTGGACTGAACAATTATTCGTATGTGATACTGATCTAAATCTATGTAATTAAACGATAATTAATTTATCTTTCCCCTGTACCTACTCAGGAAAGTTCAAAGGTTTGATATTCGTGTATCATATTTATCAAGTTAGTAACAAAGTTAACAATTAAATAAAAAAACAAATTTAAAATTTTTTGAACTCATTTGATTTTAAGATTTTATTTGAGAAGTTCGTTGCAAATCCGATATAATTAGTTAAAGCTTTGGCATAATCAACATTTGCAAACTTTTTTATCAATTTCGATAGATCGATAGATTTTACTTTGTTATTTGATCTTAAAATGATTTTCTCTGGTAAATTGCAGATTGAAAAATATGGTATTCTAAAAATATGACGCCACATTAAAACAAATTAAATTTTCTTTGGAACTGTCCCGAATTTTTTTTTTTAACAATTATAGCTGATATTTATATTTTAAACAATTATATTTAACTTTTATTTAATTTGATCAAATTTTGTAATATAGGGTGGCCCATTTAAAAATTGGAATTTATCGATTGCAACTTGCCTGTAGGCCACACCGTGCGGAATTCGAAGTTGCGATATATGAAAAAAAAAACTAAGAATTTTGAGACCTTTCTGACGATGTAAACCGTAAGATGGATTTTTTTTAATTACAATATTTATTACAACTGTTAAATAATTTAACATCTAGTAATAATAATAAACAATAACATAAATTTAAATAAATAAGAGTACATAGGATAGAGTTTACATTAAAATGATATATGTAGTTTGATGATTTAATATAAAATAAAAGCAAATAATAATAAAAATAAAATTATTAAATAAAATAAATGAAACTTCTGAATAATAAAATAATACTAGAAAAACAATAAAGTGGAATTAAAACAATAAGTGACAGATAATAAAGATGAACCAATAGATAGACCACCCTGTACTTTGAATCACTGAATTAATTAATCATCATTACATTTGTTGAATCTATTTTATGTTTATTTTCAGTACGAATCTTTCCCTTTACACCGTGGCAGTCGGTATTCTTGAAATCTCGCAAGCCAAACCAAATGATATATTGAAAGTCAGGAAAATAATTTCACATGAAAAATATGACAAAAACTTGTTCCAACATGATATCGCTGTGTTGAAGGTCAATATACTTTTTATTAAGAGTTATATGAGAAACAATTCCAGTTTATTTTTATTTACAACTTGAATATCTCCTTTTTATATAGATTGAAACTGTGGATGGATTAGCCCCTACGCATAAGGGAAGAACAATCAAATTAAATGAAGATAAAGTTAAAGATCACACTAATTGTACTGTTATGGGCTGGGGAGTTGTAAGAACGGTAGGTCTGCTGAAAGATTTAACCTTTTGCACTCGTTTGCTTTTGAACTTGAAGCATACTATGTTTTGAGAGTGTTGACCCATTTGTTTACTGTAACCAAATTTCAAATATGTAAAATGTAATCTGAGTATTATAACTATTTTTGCATGAGCACCATAGTTGCACCATAGTCCAGAAAACGTTGTTCTCTTATACAGTACACTAATAGATATAAAATATAATAAGTTTGAACTTAAAAAATTTTTATATCAAAATCTTTCAATATTATAATTTTTATTGAGTAAATATAAACGACATAATTAAAATGTATTAGATTTAACTTATTGTTAGTTTATAATTTGTGATATTAAGTATTTTCTGAGAGAGTTGTGATCGCACTATTCAACATAGATGCTACTTAAGTATATACTAAATCGTCTACCTGAAATTCTCGAGCTTATTTTAAGTAAGAGATGGTAGTAAGATAACCATAGATTTGGCTGTGATAGCTCGGATTTTCATCATGTATCCCGGATATTTCTAAAAGCATTTCTTGTCTCGGTTTTTTATTTTTTGTCCCGAATTGTTCAGGATTTTTGAACAAGTTGTCCCGATTTTGATCACATAAACATGACTACCATATTAGTATTTAATATGAACCAAAATAAATATAATGCACTAGTTGTTATTTGCAAAATATGTATACAACAACATACGGTGCGGATAATAATAAGCATTAAATCATATAATCAAAATGTTTTTCTTTAATAAAGATTAAAATTAAAAAGCACGTGTTGATCAAAAATATATTTTTACATTATTTTTCACAGGCAACTCCTCCAATAGCGAGCCCATTTTTGAAATATGTTTTTGTACCAATCAATTCTAGAGTAACATGTGATATGATATACAGCAAAACGTTTACTGAAGACATGTTGTGTGCGGGTACACCAGGAAAAGATTCGTGCCAAGTAAGTTTTCCTACAGTTCATTTTTACAATAACCTTATATATAGATACATATTATACTAGATTTTTTTTTAAATTATATGAAAGCGATTTCCATCTAATACAATGTCGAAAGTAAAATGTTTGTATAGTTGCAAAGGATATGATAAAAAACGTCTGAAAATAACATTTCTCAGTTCTCTCACAAACGACCCTCGTTTTTAAAATAGTCATTATTATTATTGGTGTGTATTTTAGGGAGATTCTGGCGGACCTCTAATATGCAATGATAAACTGGCTGGAATCGTGTCATTTGGAAAAGGATGTGCAGTATACCCTGGAATATACACCGATGTTTCACATTATATATCATGGATTAAAAAAGCACAAAATTCGGCAAATGCTAATAATCAATCTCTATACTTAATTATTTTTACACTTGCAACGAGTATGCTGCTTTTCAGAAGTTGAAGTTGAAGAATTATTTTTGTTTAAATAAATCTGCTTCTAAAAGATAAAATCTTTATTTTGATACGTATTTTCTCATACTATTGTAATGCTGATGGCAAAAGTGAAATCATAAATATGAACTTGTTTATTGAATATAATACAGACTAGAATAAAAATTATAGGCTTTAAATAACACAGGCTTCAAATATTATAAACTAAAGTTTAATATGGCTATTGCTTATTGAAAAATAAACTAAGCTGCTCTATATAAAAATTCTCACTAAAGTACAAATTTGTACAGACATCATTGGTTTAAATGCTAATTCAAATGTTCATATAAATACGTATAAGTATATAATATAAAAATTCGAAATAGTTTAATATAACAGCAGTTAGTGATTGTTCACACTTAACACTAAAATTAATTAAAATTAATAATTGCAATTAATTTCTGCATAATTAGACCATAATAAATAATGAAGCATTATTAAAAGCACACGTTAAAAATGCAGTTAAAAATGTAATGAATAATACAAAATAAATTATATAAAATATTCAGTCGTAATTTTTCCTTGTTCGAGTTGCGCAAAAGATATGACAAAAAATAATACAGTTTGTTAATAGTTTTTGAATTCTCAATATATATTTAAACGAGATCAAAAATGCGCGAAAAGATCAGAATTATGAAACATTAACGATCATAATAGATTATGATCAGACAATGAATTAAGAAAAAATTACTATTAAATATGAATGTGCTACAAAAAATTTCTTTTATTTTTTTGTTTTCAAAACAGCGGGTAGTATTATACATGTTTATCGAATCTATCTATTAACAAACGACATGAATAATCATATACGTTTAGTATTTTTGTTTGTCATTTGAAGAGTTTTCTGGTATCAATTCTGCTAAATAATCCACTGATCGATACATGAAACAATGTTTATTATGATCCCAAACTGCTATTAATTTATACAAACTGCGTACTTTGATTATGTTATCATATTTACACAGAATTTATACAGTATGTCCATACTATTAACGCATTGTTGAAAAGCTAAGAGCTTCTGATTTTGATAAGAGCTTTCGAACCTCTGCAAGCTCTTTCAATAAATTTAATGTTATTTGTAATTAAATACTTGCCAATGAATGTGCACCGTTCGATGTTGAAACTAAAAAAATGTATAAAAATATCGTTATGTACTCGGTTTTATTCACCAGTTTAGTTTCTGAATGTGCGATCGCAGGTAAGTTATATAATGATATATAATAAATTTAATAGTAGTTCAAAATACGCAGACATTCTTTGGTTAAAATGAATATAAATTTAATTTATTAGATTGCATTGCCATCTACTGCTAGTTTTGAGAAAAAAATTATCGTAATTTAGAAATTTTACTTATTATTCCCCACATGATAAATTAATTCGATTATTAATATGCTTATAAATTAATTTTGCATTTTATAATGATCTACACTTGCTAAGTGAAAATTAATAAAATAAAGAAGTAAATAATTTTTAATACATTAGAATCTGTTCCAATCATGAACATAATAATTATTTAATTGCCAAATTGAAATGAATGAACCTAAATAAAGTGTACAGAAAATTAAATAGTTGCTTTTGATTAAATTTATCTTCTGATATTTTTTTATACATTCTTATACTTTCATGTACATTATGTATTTATGTAGTTCAAATTATAAAATGAAAATAATTTTGATGTATGAGTATTCAATAATAAGCAATAATTTGTGAAGAGCGCTTAAGATTTGTTTGGTAAATATAGGGTGTCCCAGACCATGATGTCAAGCCGAAACAGGGTGATAATGTTGACCTTAAATGGACTGAAGATGTTTGTGATGTAATGTAAAGAATAATAATAAATTGTAATGTAATAATGAAATTATCAAATGTTTCACAATTTTATAATCCTGATTAAATGCGTCAACTTTTGATGAAATTCATTACACGCACACACTTTAGAACATTTTAGTTTAAACAGAGCCTCTCAAAGACGACCGATTTAAAAAAAATTAAATTCACAGTTCAACAAAAAGTCTTAATTCTTGAAAACTTGAGACAATTATGTTAATTTTTCACGGTTCAAAAGTTCAAATAAACAAAATGATAACAGTTAACCACAATAACCAAAAAATGGTCATAATTCCACCAAAACTTTAGGTTGCACTTAAAAGCTTATAACTTCCAAACAACGGAAGATTAATTTTTTTCCCATATTTTTCCAGGACAATTAAGGTCAATACTATCACGCCATTTAGGCTTGACGTCAAGGTCTGGGACACCATATATATACATATATATAAGGGTGGTCCTTAATATCAACATTTTAGAATTTCCTTGCTCCCAAGGGCTTAAGCGGTTCCAAATTGATTCGATAAAAAACAATTATCTGAAAGTTTTAGCTCTTAACTTTTAAATAGTGCGCAATTCAATCAAACTTTGTATGAAAATAGCATGGAAAAAAATTTGAAAATTAAAAAAAATTTTTAGGTATAACTTTAGCGACATATGAATTAAAAGTGAAAATTCGTGCCATTTTTAATAGAAAATTCGACGCTATGCAAAATTTTGGAATTTTTTTTTATGCTATTTCCATACAAAACTTTGATTGAATTGTGATCTATCTAAAAGACAATATTAAGAGCTAAAACTTTCAGAGAATAGTTTTTTATCAATTTGGAACCATTTGAGCCCTCGGGAGCAAGGAAATTTGAAAATGACCATATTAAGGACCACCCTAATAAATATATATATATATATATATATATATATATATATATATATCATTGTAGTTGTATTTAGCACAACAACAATTTCTTCAATTACTCATCTAATTTACAGAATCGCATGCTTCCAACCGCATAGCTGGTGGTTGGGAAGCACAGACAGGAGACCATCCCTATCAAGCATCCGTGCGATATTTACACGTAGACGCCAAGTACGGCCCTGGAACGGGGCACTTTTGCGGCGCGACAGTGCTTACGCCTACAGCGGTGTTGACAGCAGCGCACTGCGTTAACGATGAGTGAGTGTCGTTGATAACATATGAGGCGATTTATTAATGAGCAAACAAAGACTGTCTGTCTCCGCGTTTCCCAACTTAATGTTAACTAGTGGGGCGCCTGGCATCGTGCCTTAAGGCAAATTCCTCGAACTTCCCGTACCAAAAATTATTGTTTTTTTTTTTAAAACGATTAACATTTTTGAAAAAATTTTACTTAAAAAAAATTAGGTTTTTGAGAAACTATAAATTTGATAAAAAATTATTTTTTTGAAAAACAAAGTTTTCTTTATTTTGACATATTTTGGAAATTCTGAACTTTTTTCAAAGCAATCGTACTGCTATAACTGCATAGAGACGGAATATAGAAGCGCGTAAGCGCCGCTTCGCTGTCTAACGGATAAACATTGGTACGGAACCCATAGGAATGTAAACAAAATTTATACGTATTAATAAAGTCTCCGTGAAATATCTGATAATTTGATGTGCATATGTTTAATGATCATTTTCGACCCCCAAATGGCATTTTTTTTACTTGATCTCCGAAACCGCTAGACCTGCCTTTATGAAAATTTTATTAATTCTTTATCTTGTTAACACAAGTAAAATGTTTTATGAATTATTAAAATCGGACGCTTAGTTTTCTTAAAAACTGAGTTACCATGTTCGGCACTTTTTGCCCCGTATCTGCACCAAAAACTAATCAGCACGTTACTTTATCAGTACGAATCGAATGTTTTTTGAATTATTTAAATCGGTTGATCGGTGTTCCCGAAATCGTCGACGAAAATTTGTATCCGCACACACACACACGTACATCCTTTTCTTCAAAGGTATGTCAAAATATTCAGAAACCTTTGAAACGTAAAGATATATAAAAATTTTCAGTTTCGATTTTTTTGCGATTACTATAACTTGCCCTACGGGAAGTTAAAAACGGCAATATATAGTGCAGTTGGTATAAAAGAAAAAACCAAAGTTACTGAATTGCCTTATAAATGTATTGGAGTATTTTCTAAAATTCTCATATCTTGTAGCAATTCACAAAATTTGAAAACAAAACATTTTCACTCCGATTTGTTAACAGATATTTTTAAACTCATGAAGATTTTTTATTGAGATTCTTCATGCTTCTAATAAAGAACTTCGATGGTTTAACGATTTTAACGAGACGACGATTGCACAAATTATAAACAGACAAAAATAAACAAAAATTTTATCACCGCAAAGAATATAAAAATTAAAACATCTACTTGTTAGATAACTTTTGACAATGCATAAATATATATTTTAAGCGAAAGTGTCTAAAACTCTAGAATATTGCAAGTTTTCATTTTGATCAAAACGATTTGAAATATGAGAATGGAAAATATAAAACTTGTTTCACACAGCGTGGACATTAAAACCGTTATTAAACAAGCAAAAAACAATTATTTGAATATCAAAGAATAATTCATTTAAAATAGTAAGAGTATTTAAATTGACTATTAACGAGTTGAATCTGTATCAATTAAGTGCGACATAAAATTTGGTAGAATACTTGTTGGTTAGATCGCTTCATTTAGATTTTAATAATAACAGTTAGATTATTTATGTTTCCAATTACAGTTCCAAAACTGTAGACAAAAGCCTTATAATGGTGGCAGCTGGTTCATTGGATTTAAATGATACGGAATATACATCAATGCGCACAGTCAAATCGATAGTAACCCATGAAGATTTTGAACATGATGGATGGTTTAATGATTTGGCCATTATTTTTGTGAGTAACTAGTTTTGTTTAACAACTACTGACATATTTTAACTGTAAAAACAGCATTTATTGAGTTTTCTAAAAGAAAATGCGAGCCTATTTCTTCTTTACCTTTCATGGGCAACTTAAAAACTAACATTTTCTCTATTGTCATAAAAGTTCATAAAAATTAAGTACTTCAGTGTGATATATTTGGATTTACATTATCTCGCAACTCTATTTGCTAACACATATTATTCATAAATAAATAATTCAATTAATCAATTTTAAACGATTTTAAAAATAGCTATCAACGCCATTGAATCTTGAAAATTCCAATGTATCAGCAATTGGTATACGACAAGAACCAGTAAGTGCAGGAAGCAATTGCACAGCCAGTGGTTGGGGATCTACGGAACCTTTAGAAGAAGATCAAGATAATTCAGACTTAGTAAGTTGGATTGTTATACTGCCAAACTTTTGAGACCTCTTGAAACTTTGCAATATTCACAACAATATTCACAAACCCGTGAAATATAGCGCATCATTCACCAGTCTAGTAGCATTCATTTACCAGTCAGTTGAATTCTACTCCTAGTGTTAGGAACAATAATTCTGCCAACGACGATAAAAAAAGGCCTAAACATTGATTATTGAGTTAATATTTAAAAAAAATCATTTCTAAGTACAAAAATGATGAAAGTATATATTCGACCTCAACAGTATCTTCAACCTTAAATTGAGTTCATGTTCGACCTTAACGTGATTATCACATAAACTATTAAAAATGTCTCGTCATGCCAGACAAGCAGATTTAATTTATAATTTCATTGTGATGTGTCTATTACTATTACATCACTTTCCTATTTAAAAAACATGAAATACATGCTCATTATTTAGTATTTTAATTCATTGCAATAGATCTTCTACACGAGTCAAACCTTGCTAGCTGTGGATCTCCTAGTTTGGGATAAGGAAGATTGTGAAAAAATATATAATCGCAAACTGCATGAAGGAATGATGTGTGCAGGTCATGAAACAGTCATCAAAGACACGTGCCCGGTAAGATAATTATATATTTATAAATATAAGTAATAATAGATTTCGTGGTGAGATAATCTTGATTAAGTTGGAAATAATATTCAGTGTTTATTGTAATAAAACGTATTGTTTTATTAAGAATATCTGGAAAATTTTGTATTCAATCTATTCAAGAACATAGACAACTGCGTATATGGATGATTACTTATTTCTTGAGATCTTTAGTAAAAATTCATTCGTGTATGAGAAGATTCAGTAATCCTAATAAAATTCAGCTCATAAACTAATATATGTATAATAAGTAAAAATTTTCATTATAAATTTTTTAAACGACGTACGATTTTTGTCAGGGTGATTCTGGTGGTCCCCTAGTCTGTGATGGTTTACTAACTGGAATAGTATCATTTGGTAAGCAATGCGGGCAACTTGGAGTACCAGGAGTATACACAAATGTTGCTGATTATTGGCAATGGATTAACGAAACTCTAAAAAATGGTGGAAGTAGTATGAATGCTCCAGAAATACAATACATTTACAAAATGTTGATAGCTACAATAACGTTGATTTGCGTTCTTATCCTAATTTGACTTTGGTTTATAATGGTATGACACTGGCAATATGGTAGATGGTTTAGCAAAATATTTTTTTACAAGTAATTAATTGGTAATTGGTGTAATGTATATGTTAAAATTATTGTTAAAAATTATTCGAATAATTACAATCATTTGTAATACGAGTCAAAAAGCAACCATTTTGTACATTGTGTAGAATTTAAATAAATTTCCTCAAGTACCAGAGAAAAGTATACACATATCGTTGGTTAATACAATGTAGTCAGAGAACTTTGCTTGTTGTAATAAATTATTTCAATATAGGCAAATTCATATAAAATGTGTGTTAACTTCAATGAAAAAGAATAAAACAGTACAACATCTAATTCACTATTTTAACTAGAATTAAATTTATCAAAAATGTTATATACAGTATAAGCTTACCACTATAAAATTAAATACTGATACCTTGCCAAAAAAATAATAAACATATAATTATCTATGTTATTAAATAAGAATTTCCATTTTTATAGGTTTCAATAATTTCCTAGCAAGAAAGTATAAACTACAATATAGATAGCATAAACTATCTATATTGTACATTTACTTCTCAATTAAAATAAGCCACTTAAATCTCACTACAAATCAAAATATAGTAAATTTTAGTTTAGAAGTTTCTTGCAAATATATAAAAGCATTATATTTATACGTTCATATGTTTAAATTTATTACTTCACTATCATTTGTATACCGCACTAATAATTGAATAAATACAATTTAGCTTCTACAGCAGAATCTCAACCAAGATTGATCTTCCTAGATAAAATATTAAACACACGTGATAATGTTCAAATACATTCTCCAGGTATGCCATAAATCTGTATCATAGATAAGAAATGCACTAAGGAATTGTTTAAAATAGCTATATTAATTTTAAAACAAACATTAAAATTTATTAACAAATTATTTATTTATTTTTTATGTTTGTTTATATATATAGTATTTGGACTAGCGTGACTGCTGTAGTGTTTCAAGTCAAGAAAAGTGAAAACACAGGAAAATTAAATTTGAGGAAGATGTAGAGGCAAGGAAGCTCAAGTGAAGAACCAAAATGTATAAAACCGGAGAAAAATGATAGGGTTTTCACAAATTGAGTTTTATCAAAGGGTAGTTAAATTATTGAAATAGGTACAGCATTATGGGAAAACATCGGCAAAATGCTAAACTCTAGCTCACATATACAGGCGCACACGCATATTTTTCCTATTGTTGGTTTCTCTTGGAATTCACTTTTCTCGATGTGGCTTGGATGGAATTTTCCACTTTCATAAAGTCAACGAATAATATAATTTATAAAATTTAATCATATTTATAAACTGTCAAATTCTCCAAATTTAAAAAGTAACGATCTTTAAAAAAAATCAAGTACTCAATCCAACAATTTTTCTTAACGTTTAAAGTATTCAAAACGCTCCAAAGAATGTAGATAATGATCAACGATATTGATTATGAGGTGAAGTAATCTGCTAATATCAATTAATAGCCTGGGCATCTAATTGGCATTTTACTTATAATATTTTGTTTTAAACTGACGACTACGTCTGACTTTGATCATTTCATTTTCCACAAATAAGCTTGCTTTGGGAAGGTTATCATATCAACACGTGCGATGTGGAAAAACAAATTTGAACGAAAAATTCTATGTGTACACCCGTGTTGTATTATATTTGCTTTGCACCTTATATGCTCAAGCGGTATTAAGTTGTCACCTGAGACTGTTTAATGGACATATTATAATTGAAGTTCAGTTTTAATTAGACCATTAACTAGAATCATCATGGTGTAATATCTTAAATTTAGAGAAAGGTATGTGAGGAAAATGGAAAGTGTCAAGTGATTTTAAAATAATATAAATATGAAATGTTAGATAAGTATTACATAATAATATAAAATAAATAATACAATGTGATGAAGTTAAAATTTTAGCTTTTAGAGTGTAATATTAGAGAGCCGATTACTATGTGACATTGCCAAGCGTTTATTATTTATTTAAAAATCACATAAATGCATTTATCTAAGTTACTGCAAAATTTTTTATTACATTGATTTTTAAATTTATATGCGTGCAATTAGATTAATTTACAATCACAATCATTATGAATAATTTGCCTTGGAAAAAACAATCGTAACAGTAAACAGATTTTGCGGTAAGTACATGGCAAATCACGATTTTTTCTGTAATACCCACAAAACACGTTTTCATTATTAATCATTGTTTTCATGCAATGTCTGTTTATTTAAAAATAAAACGGTGATTCAAGCTGTATTAATTAATTGATATTTTAAACACGTATGTAATTAAAATACATAATCATTTGAGTATTTAGATGGGTATAACATATCTTTAAGAATTGGAACCAATAAGGATTAGTTAGTATTAATTGAAAAACAATTGTTTGTCAACTACTGTTTAAACAAAATGATTTAATCATATATTAATTTAAAATAATTCTTTAATGATAAAGATATAGAGCCTGAGAACTTGATAAACAACTAGCTTTACTAAATAAAATAGATTCTCCAAAAATTCAGTAAAATTTATTAACGTTATTCCAGCTAAAAAATTTTAAGATATTTCAACCAATAATTTTAAATGTCTGATTACCTAAACATAAGTTTAAAAACAACGTTTATAAAAGATAACTTTATAAATAAATTTGAATTGAACAATAAAATAAAAGGAAGAAAGAGAGCATATAACTGCAGAAACAAAATCAGTTTACTTATCTTCAAGTAATTGATTGATATGCTTTTATTATGAAACTTTTTTTGGCGATATATATCATGGTCTTATAGAACTTACTGAAATACTACGGCCTTACGACAAGTAGTTTATTTTTTAAAATTTATGAAAGTTTGAGAAAATGAGTCGTTTTTTTGACGTTTGTTAAAATTAAAATTAGACGATTTACTTGATATAACGATAGAGTACTTGGTCTTAATGAATACACTGGTTCAATTAAAAAAATATTGATTTTTGAAAATTTGCTTTGAGAAAATACTCCGATTAACGTATTCGTTCGTTTTCAATTATGTGTAATAAATCCACTCGAAATAATTTTAATTACTCATAAATTAATTTATTTTTCATTGATTAAGTCGATTATTTACACATATCGAGAAGTTCATGTAAATCGTTAATGTTGTAAGTGTGATATCTAAATTATAAGAAAAATTCATCCAATACAATTATTATAAAAACACATAAGTTCTCTACATCATATTTTAAATTTATGAAGAGCAAGTTTTAAAACTTACCCTAAAGCGGTAACAACCAAATCAAAAGTTTTGATTATGACATCAAAAGTTTATAATTTATTCAATTTGTGAAATTGGTGACACTTTTTTCTTAGCCGCGCAAAGAAAGTTCCTTGTTTTAAATTTACCTTTTAATTGAAAAATAGTTAAAATTTTCATTATGGCACGGATCTTTAATATTTATTTGTTAACTAATTTTTCAATAGCATTTATTCATAATCCTATACAAATTCTATCAACTTAACATTCTTTGGAACCATCAACTTTTTCAAATGATTATAATATATATTATATATATTTAATATAATAGAATACTTGACAAGAATAGAGTGATGGAACATAAATCAGCTGTAAAACTAGAACCATTAAAAATTTAAATAAAATAAACATTATTATAGCCGTTAATCAAGAAAATGCCTCACGATAAAGATGCCGTGTTCGATAAAGTTATGCAATCTGTAGGAGACGATGGAGCCTTTCAAAAACGATTCAACTATTTCTACAATACTGCAATGGTTGCCTTGACTGTGATGCCCTACATTAACATCGTCATGATGATGGCAGTTCCTGATCACTGGTGTCATGTACCAGGCAGAAACGAGACCAATTATTCACTCGAAGAGTGGAAAGCATTGACATTGCCAAGGTTTGTAATAGTATCCTTAAATTTTATTATACCAGTAAATTATGAATAATTTTAACTACGGTTTGAATGCAGAAATATATTGGAAATTAAATTTGCAATCCGGGTATGTTAACGCGGACAATAAAGTCAGAACTTCATTAAATCAATAAATCACGATTGAAAATCGATTAACTCTGAATATTTATGAAGTATATTAATTGAAATAAATATATAAAAAAATACAATATGACGAAAAGAAAACATTATCTCGTTTAGCAAGTGTAGATTCTGCATACCATAATAAAACTTTGCGGTCAGACACATGAGTAAATTAAGCGAATTCTAGGAACTAATTTTTAAATGATATCATTGATTGTAAACCAATCTATAAATATGTTGTAGAAAAACTTTATTCACAAATATTAGAAAATAAAAATAACTAGATATTATGATTCACTTACCTTTTGTCGAGACTATTTCATCAATTAGAAAATTAGGTGGATATATTAAATTTACCCGTCTCAAGAATGATCTTTTCTGAAAGAAATAAAATAATGACAATAAAAAATATATTGATGTAGGATTTGAATTTGATTTCAGTTAAGTTTGAAGATAATATTTTTATATAAATTAATATTCATTTGCAAATCTGAGTTGGTAGTCTAATTTCTTTGCCAGTAAATATAAATTGTAAGTAAGCTGATACATTACTATATACTACCAGTTTATGCATTAATTGAAAACAAATAATTTTTATTAAAAAAGTGTGCTTTATATCAGTCAGACAACTATCAGCTTTTACACAAGCTTCGTGTCATATATTAAAAGTTTTTGCTAAGATTCCTTCTTCGTGAATCGCTAGGTGATTCAAACAAGGAACTATTTCGGCAAATTGGCTGGCATCAATTGGCTGGCATCAATTTGCTAAAATACAAATCGTATCCTCCAAACTTTCGTTTCATCTTGTCATTCAGGAACACTTTTAATAATTCACATTTGAAGTTAAATTACGTATTCCTTAATGTAATGTATAACGTGTATTTAGTATATCTTATTAAAATATACTATTCAAGATTTTTTATATTATAATAGAGAATATAATTCCAAAGGACAAATCGACTACAGCTCTTGCAATATGTACAATAAATCATGGTCTGAAGAGACAAATAAGATTGAAAGTCAAATAATACGTAAGTAATCTAATATGTAAGTATGAATGTGAATATTAAAATATCGTAAACCAAAGAAAAATAATAGTTTTTATTTTTTGAACAGCTTGTCAGCATGGTTATGAATATGACAGAACATGGTATTTATCAACGGCTCCGTCAGATCAAGACTGGGTTTGTGATAGAGAACTCTATGTAACTAATACATTTGCTATTGGACGTGCAGGCGAAGTCATAGGCACATTTATTTTTGGACAATTAGGAGATAGGTGACTAAATAATTCAAAACGCAAATTTTTTTTTACAACATTATTGGATATGATATTGTTTTTTTGATATAAGGCCAGAAAGTTTTGATTTAACTAATAATTTCAATTATTCTGTCAAATTCTGTTCTCATCAATAGTTGCTTTTTTACCTGAACTATGTACAAGTTTTCCAATAAGCTTTATATTATCTTGTCGTTACATTTTATAATCAGCGTGGTCTTCATTTCGACTAATTTATGTTCTCAATTTACTTAATGAAAATATCAAATGATTTCTTGCAGGATTGGAAGAAGACCAGTATTTTACTTAAGTCTCATCACAATCGTCACCGGAAGACTAATTACAGCATTTACTTCCAGTTGGTTTATTGTTTTTATAACAGCGGCTTTTCTTGGTTCACTAACATCTACATCTGTTTTTCAAAGCCCTTTGATAATTGCGATGGAAATATCCAGAAGGTATGAAAAAAAACCCATTTGGTTATTCTAAATTCACAATAGCTTATATATGATGTCTCTACTTGCAACCGATTTAGAAATGATAATAAGTACAACATATATTTTAAATATTTATGTTAATTTTGCCAATTATCAACATAATATATCCTAAAATTATTTTTTATTGCACGTTCAAATAAAAATATGTTATATGCAAAAACAAAATAAAAGAGTTAATGAAAAAAAAACTGTAAGTAGCTTTCTACATTACCATAGTCCCTTGGTCTTCATACCCAAACGCAAAGAAGCATCACTTACAAGTAAACAGAGTTTTATCAAAAACTAATCTGGAAACATACAAACCAGTATGGCATTTTTATAGATAATAACTTAAGTAAAAATATAAATAATTAATTAGTTTATTCTTTCTTAGTGAAGATAGAGCACACATTGCCATGATGCAGTCCATCGGGTGGACCAGTGGAATGATTCTTATGCCGTTACTGATGTGGGCGACGCGAGATTGGTTTATCTTTGCTTTGGTTAGCACTATTCCATGTACAATATTTTTAATTCATAATAAGTAAGTTAATGTTAAGTTCACTACTCGACATCTTTTACATTTTGATATCTTAAATATTTTTTTTTGCTTTTATAATATATTTTCATCATACAAGTAACTTATCAATGCCTTCCCTTCCTTCATTTTATTCTAACCTTCATTTTATTATATATTGACTAATACAAAATATTACTTGATGATTATTGGCAGTTGTAGAGAAAATGTAATACAATTTTAAGCGTTTATTAAAAGGCGATTTAAAAATCGCTTGATGCATATATACCAAACTTTTCAATTTTAGGTATATGATTGAATCGCCAAGATGGTTGGCAAGTCGATGTAAAATAGAACGATGTGAAAATACATTAAAAATCATTTCCAGCGTAAATAAGACAACTCTTAATGAAGATGCAATTAGAGTGTTAAGAGAAAAATCCTCAGGAAAACCAGAAAAAGTTTACGGAATCATGAGTTTATTTTCTAGTTTACGTTTAGCTAGAAATACTACACTTATTGTGCTTTGCTGGTAAGTTTTCACTTAATAACACTAACAAATCCAAAAGTAATTCCATTCAATTATATATATATAGATTTTTTAAATATTAAAATAATAAAACCAGAATAATAAACTAATTTAATTCATTTCATAGAATTTGCATGAAATAATTTTATTGCTGTAGAAAATTATAACAATTATAAATAAAAAAAAATCAAAATACTTTTCATGCAAGTAATTTGCTATGAGAATTTCATCATTATGTAACGTTGTTAAATACCCAATACGTAGAAGAAACAAGCAAGTTTCAGATTTCATGACAAATCGTATCACAAATTTCATAAAAAAAATGACAACATTTATTATTCAGTCAATATGTGGTCCAACATAGCAAAAAGTTATCAACAAAAAGTTCAATTTGATATTAATTAGCAACCAAAAAACGTGGTCATGACCATTGGTATTGAATAATAAATAACATAATGCGTTTGTAACAATTATCTGTTGCATACTCAATTATGTATTTCATACATATTTTATATATTTGCAATTAAAATTATATTAAGTAAGAGAATGAGTTAAGAATAGTGTATCTAGAAGGCAATCCATTGATAAGATTATATTAGATATATTTTAATGAAGGATTAATTTAAATAGATTTCGCAGCCGAAAGGCTATTATGGGAAATAAAATTAATTAATTCTTCAATTTAAAATTTAAGATATTTTATAAGTAAATAATATTTTAGAAATGCCTTTATAGTATTTTTATAAAAATATTACTTTAGTATTAGAAAAGGGCAAAACCCAATGATGAGGCTTGAAAAATTATAAGATTTTTTATATAATTTTTCAGATTTTTACATTTTTAATTTAATTTGCAGGATTGTATGTTCCGTGACGTATTTTACATTAATTTTGAACGTGAGCAATATGGGAGGTAATCCATTTCTCAACTTTTTATATCAATCGGCAGTAGAATTACCAGCATATCTACTAGGACGTTTCTCCAGCGACAGAATAGGAAGACGTTGGACCTCTGTAGCTTCTTTTGGAATTGCTCTGGCAGCATCTTCCATTCTTATATGCATTGCCAATGGTAATTACAAATACATCATATTTATTGTCACATATTTATCTTTATCTCCAATTTTTACAATATTAATAATCACTATTTAATTTTATTAGCTTAAAAAAGCTATTCAAAAATAACTATGGATTCTAAAAATGAGATTAATAAAATTTATTATTTCAGATGAATCCCTCCAGAATTTGGTCCCACTGTTAGCCGTGGTAATGAAATTTTGCATAAGCATCACGTTTTATGTTGTGAATCTGCAAGCAATGGAAACATATCCAACCTTTGAGGCAGACAGGAATTTCCATTGGAACTATAGTTTCAAATGCATTAGGAGTATTAGGCCCATA